TGGTGGCACGTTTGAGCAGACCAATCTTGAAATCCGTATACTCACTTTTGGAGTTTTAACCGGATCAAATTGCTCGTTAAGTTTAATGAGTTCTAATACCATGTTAAGAATTGTGATTCTATCTTAAAAGGTCAACATTATGAAGGGGAGTAACACAATCCTTTATAAGTTAATATATGTTTACATCTTTATTTGATATGAAATTCTATCACTTAACACTACAACACCTTCGATTAGCACTATAGCACTGGAGTCTGCTTTAGTACAAGGGTCGAGATCTATCCTATTTCAGGATCGGCTCAAAGAAGTCATTTTGAAAAGCTTTATGTATATAAAGAATTGGCAAGACGCTCATTATCGAATATAAAATAAGTATACCGAAATTCTGTGTAATTAGGTAAATGATATTTAATTTCAATTTATTCATACTTTGTTATTATCTTAATAATATATAGTATTTTCTAAAAATTATATACATAACAAATTGTTTGTGTGCAATTTTAGCTCGTCTACTAGAAAATTAAGTAGTCGATTCCAACCTCAAAAGGAGGAGAATTTAAAAAAATAAATAAATGACAATCTCATGGGCCAAGTTGAACTTGGCTCGTCATCTTATGAGCTCGTGGGTATGGGCTCGAGTAGGTTCGACTCAATCCATTGTGATGCCTAAATGGATCTCAGCACTGTCGTCCATAATGTTGGGTCACTAGGCAAGCAGCCAACATCTCCCTTTTGTTAATGGGCTCCGTCATAGTGGGCCTTGCCCCTTTTTACACCACCAAAGCACTTTTTTAGGGGAAATTTCATATTGAAGAGTTTAACTATGACTCATTTTACAATTAAGAAACTAGGTTTAAAATTTCAAAAATTAAATTTTATTAAAACTTATTTATGAAAGAATTAATTAAATACATATTTTATTAATTAAATATATTAAGGTCACAATTATATATATATTGATCACAAATTATCGAATTAATTAGTTACAAATTATTTCTCGATCTTAAATAAAAAAAATTATATGTGACAAATTATTTATCGGTCACAAATAAAAAACTTTATAGATCACAATTTATTCATATACCACAAAATCAAAAAATTTGAAGGTCACAGAAATCACAAATTTTATAAGTCACAATTTATTTAATGGTCACAAATTATCAAATTAATTGATCTCAAATTATTTCTCTATCACAACTTACTTAGGGTGTGTTTAAGCCACATTATTTTGGAATAGTAGATTGATGGAAAATGTGTGGTTGAAAAAGAAGGAAAAGTTATTGATGTGATGAAAAATATTATTTTATTAAAGATTGTGTGGTTGAAAAATGAGTAGAAGAATGATAATAAGAATTTTAATGTGGCTCAATCAGGGGCTTAATAAATTATGAGTCACAATCACACTTTTTAGGCAACATATTATTTATTAATCACAAATCAACCAATTTATTGGTCAAAGATACTCTCCATCCCACTTGACCATCGACAAAACCACAACAACCACACCACCAGTTGCAATACACAGTACTCATTCTTTTAGATTTGCCGCAACCACCATAGCCACGTTGCTCAGATCAGTAATATGAACTCACGCTTTCAAATCAACCACCACACCCACGCCGCTCAGATCAGTAATAGGAACTCACGCTTTCAAATCAACTACCATAGCCTCGCCACTTAGATCAGTGCCACTCAGTTGTGCCAGAAGAGAGAGACGACACAACAACGTAGCGTGTTTCTTTGCGATGGTGTGGTGAAGAGAGAGATCGGGGATCGACAAGGAGAGATAGAAGAGATCGACGGGAAGAGAAAGACAGGAGATCGGTTCGGTGCGGTGCGGTTGTATCGCCTGCATCGTGTCGAGCACAACCCCTCATCATCGGCGAGAGTACAGAGAGATGGTGAGAGAAGAGAGGGTGAGATGAGAGAAAGAAAGGGAGAATCGGTTGTATGGAGAGAAGAGATTGGGAAATAATGAGGGTTTGGGAGGGTAGATGGTAATGTGGTGGATATGTAAAATAATTTTTATAATATTATTATTAATATTTAGAAATTTAATTATATCTGACTTTTGAAATAAAAACTAGTAACTCTTAATTATGAATTGAGATCTTGAAATCACTTAGTACAAGTAATTTTCACTTTTTTTTTCATAAAAGTAACTTTTAAATTTTAACTATTACGTATTAGTAGATGTTATTTGTACATAATTATTTACAGATTGATATATAGGTTGTTAATATGGCATTATATTAAAATATAACTGATTTTTTTTTTCTTTTTTCCTTCTCTCTTTCAAATTATTTTTTCTCATTCTCCGTATATCAATATATAAATAATTATGTATAAATAGTATTACTTTACGGAAATTGAGTAAATTAGAAGAGTTCTTGTTAATGTCATCTTTATAAATAATATTAGTTTATCATTATTTGATAGTGTAGAAAACGAGAAATTCATAGCTTTGACTCCAACCTGACCAAGTTTTTTTTTCGATTCAGACCCATTTTGGTACATGTGCGTCCCATACAAACTTGTTGTATTATTCCTTATCCAGAAATACATAAATCTATATCTATAATATATTAAATCTATATTCTAAGATATATTAAGTTCTTATTTAGTAGAGATTAAAATCAATTTTTTAATAAATTTTGATAAAAGTTGATTAAATATGTGGTTGAAAAATTGTGGATCCCATAAAATGTATGGTTAAAACTAATTGTTGACTTTGACTTGAGAATTTAATTTGATATTAATTCAAATCAAAAGGGAATCAAATATCACATCAAGTGAGAATAATTTTTTGGACGATTCTAACTCTACTACAATTCAATTATTTTAATAATACCGTACTTTAAATTTTTCAATATATATTTAATTTATTTAATTATTTGAATAATATTATCAT